AATAAAAATAAAAGATAATTTCAAAAAACAGATCATGCCAAATCTTATAGACAATAGAAAAAGAAGAAATACTTCAAAATCAGTCTGGAGACTAACTTTGTACTAATAAAGAAACAGTGGGGATAAAACCTTGCCTCTGCAAAGCACTATAAAGCTGCACCGACTAAATCAGGACGAGTCAACACTGTGAAAGAAAGGAATGTTAGTGTGTGCCCGCGGAAGCTTTCCCGTGGTTTGGCCTATAGGCAGAAGACAGTTCTTCTGGAGATGGCCACCCGATTATAACACAGGCTGCTCAGTGTTGCAAATACATATTCGCATACACAGCCAAGGGAATCTTTCTGCAGATGGGTAGTTTTTTATATATGGACCCTACCTGTCAGAAACATACACATACACGCCTCTGATGTTTTCCAAGTTAAACATCTTAGAGGGATGTTTTTTTCCTGCAACTAATAACACAAAGGATTGTACATGTGTTTACTTCTACCCGTGAGATTTTTCTAATGGCGCAGTTGATTTTTCTTTTCTGATTACTACTGAAATGAAAAAGAAAATCAGACAAATATGCACATTTTAATCTTTAGAAAACATTGTTCATTACAATTTAAGTCATAAGGGTCATACTAGAAAATAGCAAATTTCTCTGCTGAAAGAGGGGGCAAAAAATTAAGAACAAACCTGTAACTACCTCACCCCTACCCTGCTCCCCAGTAGGCAAATTAGAGTCTCTTTCTCAAAAGCCAGAGGGCTAAACTGAAGACAACCTCACACAGCAGAAAAAGAGAGCCCAAATCCACATCCAGAGAATGCCTAAATTGAACGATCTTCGAGCACCTGAAGCAGTGTGTGTGCCGCTGTTTTCCCACGTAGATTTTCCTTATCTCTTTTCTATTTCAAGCATGGAGTGGGCAGAATGTTTTAATTCAGAGTTTTTACTGTTGTAACCTAGGAACAATAATTTGAGGCTTCAAAGTAGGTAAGTGTTGCCATGGGGACAAAAAGAAATCTCTCCTTAGATCTCCTGCATGGAGTATATCACTAAAAAAAAAAAAAAGAATGTGAAGCTCAGAGTCTGTCAAAAAGGACTTATGAACTGTTGAGCTCGCTGAATCTTTGTTTAGTCTGTTATTAGTTTCAAAAAATTTTAAATGTCCAGATAGGTTGTTTGTTGATGTATAAAATGACATAAACTCCATGGGGGACAATTTGTAAATAATCATCAAAATTACAATTAAACACATACTCTTTTACCCAGAAGATCTTCTTCTGAGAATTTAGCCCACAGATATATATATAGCTAGCACATGTATGTCTGCTAAATATTTGTAATAAACAGATACATAAGTTATTTGCTGTAACATTGTTTATAATAGCAAAAGCCTGGAAATAATTTAAGTTTCTGTTAATAAGGAGCAGGTTAAATGAAGTATGGAATACTATGCAGCCGTGTTGATATAAAATGATAATACAATAGAACCTCCATGGTTGACCACCTCCCTAAGTTGATCTAATTTTCATAGACACGCACTACATGTACGTATCAGTACAGTGGCCTAGTGCCTTATGTTGACCACCTCTGTATATTGATCAGTTTGTTACAGTCCCGTGGGGTACCAACTTACAAAGGTTCTATATGATATACTATGAAGGAAGAATAGCAAGTACAGCAAAAAGCAAAGTGTAATAATATGCTACTGTTTGTGTAAAGGGGATGGACAGCATTCATATTTGTTTGTATATGCATAATAGATCTTTGGATGGATTCAACAGAAAGTGCTGGCCAATATTGGTTGCCTCATGAAGAATAGAACTGGATAACTTATAGACAGAAGTAGGAGGGAATCCTTTCACTATCTACCTTTCACTACTTTTAAAATTATGAATCATGTAAATGTACTAGCTATCCACAATCAATAAATTAAAACAAAATATATAGAGGTGAACGAAACTGTTTACTGACCCACAAAAGTTTCACTGGTTAGTCTAGTCACACTTAGGAATGTCTTACCATCTCCACCTTTCCTTTTGTATGAAAATATTTCCTAACATGGAGAAAGTATGTTTTGTTTTGTTTTGTTTTGTTTTAATTGAGACAGAGTCTCACTTCGTCACCCTGGGTAGAGTGCCGTGGCATCGTAGCTCACAGCAACCTCAAACTCTTGGGCTCAAGTGATTCTCTTGCCTCAGGCTCCCAAGTAGCTGAGACTACAGAAGCCCACCACAATGCCAAGCTAATTTTTGGTTGGTTTGTTTGTTTGTTTAGCAGGCCCGGGCTGGGTTCAAACTCATCAGCCCTGGAGTATATGGCCAGCACCCTAACCACTGACCTACAGGCACCCAGCCAGAAAGTGTTTTGATAAATGTATTAAAATGGTAATACTAACTGAACACATGCTATGGGCCATTTAGTATACTCAGCTCATCATATATATATTTTCTCACTTCATCTTTACAACTCCATGGCAGGTACTATTATTATTTCCTTGATGGAGGAAGACCTTGAGGTAACACAGCTAGGATCAAGGCTGGAGACGCTCAAGTCTTACTGACTCTAACACTTGTGTTTAGTCATGGTCCTACTGCTGGAGTTTTCTTCTTTCAATACACCTGAATTCCTCAAGGACCTTTGAGTAAACATCAGCACACTAAAATTGGATAAGTCAGGGGAGATGTATGATTATTGTTTGGTGACTAATTGTCTCATTTGATCAGTAAAAATAAATTCAGAATAAAGAGGCCAAATATATTGGCTGCACTCTTGCATTTCAATATGGTGTAATCCATGAAGCCATGTGGTCAAAATCACAAGCCATTACATACAATTTGTGATCAAATAGGAAGCTTTAAGGGTAGAATTAATCATAAAAAAAAAAATCCAAGTTTTTGGTGGCTTGGTATCTAGAGCCAGATGTGGAAACATCCATTAGCTTTGGGCCATGTGCAAATGTGAAGGTTCTTAGGTTCACTGGATTGGAACCTTGTACGGCTCAAGTTTTCACTTAGCATTGTCAGTACTCAACTTTGGTCTTCAAAGGATAAAGATATGTGAACAGCATCGTGGCCTTCAAGTATTTTGCACCAAACAATGCCAATAGTTAAATATGTATAAACACATCAGTAACATCTGGATTACTTTCAACTTCACATGCAATTATAAAGAGAAAAAACCCAAAATATTTGGAAGAATAGATTTAGAACTTGGTCAAATATAACATTTAGGAAATAGACTTCTTTGGGTAAGTTTGCAGAACTTTATCCATCAAAAAAATATCTACACTTATTGTGTAAATAAGGAGACTAAAATGTAAAAGGTCATTTCTTTGCCACATTACAAGACAAATACTCAACAAGATTCACGTACATAACAACACCATCTTACATTAAAGTGCATTTTAGCTTACTCAAGGAGAAAGGTCTTTTTTACATTGTATAAAATTAGCAACTGTGACTTTTTAAAGAGGTGACTATGACAAAATTTCAAATATTAAGATAATTTTTAGATCTTTTATTTTAAAACATCCTGCCTACCTCCAAAAGAGTTTCAGGTAGTTTATAATGAAATACATACATTTTTTCATTCAGGGTCAGGCAGGAAAACAGAAATCACTCATGATCTTTCACCAGAGGTAATTTTAATCTGGAGAATTAAATGGTCACAAACAAAAGCTGAAAAGTCAAGCACAGGGCATGGAGGCAAAGCAGAGACTGGCACCGGAGGAAGCTCCCACCCCCGAGGCAGAGTAGAGATCATTTACCTTCTCCTGTACGTCTGTAGGTCAGTCTTCTGCCAGTGTCTCTCACCAGCTGAACCTGCCTGGAAGCCAGAGGAAGAAAGAATGTGGGAAATGTACTTCCTTCCGATACAGTGCAGAGCACAGGAAGGGCAGAGATTTGAGCGTCCAGCCCTTTTGCCATTCAGGATTCATTCTTAAAGCAGTACAATAGTAATTTCACGATTCTGCCTAACATGAGGCAATTATTTGTCGTGCAAACAAAGATACTGTTGTCTTCTTCCCAGAAAGGGGAGTCACAGAGTCCTAGAAAAGTCAGCTATGGTATCTGACTTACCATTCGTCAGGTGATACGCAATCCTGCAATCTTCCCTGGATGTGGTTTCTTGTGGTCTTGGTTACCTATGAACTAAATTGTAAAGGATCATGATCCTCACTTAACTAAAATTAAGCACTACCAATTCTTGTTCAATATAGTGGAGAAAATAGAGGGAACAAATCTGAAAGAAAAGGAAAGGGTTGGCATATATAATCTATATTTCATATGTGTTGTGTGCATGTGTATATAACTGCTATGACCCTTATTTCTATCACTAATTACAAGGTCAAAAATGATATTTATCACTTCTTTCTTCTACCACCCATTCCATGATCTCCTTGTCCTTATCCAGCACTTTTTTTTTTTTTTAATATCCTCATTTGCTTATTTTTTCTTTTCTTTCTTTTTTTTTTCAGTTTTTGGCCAGGGCTGGGTTTGAACCTGCCGCCTCTGGCATATGAGGCTGGCATCCTACTCCTTTGAGCCACAGGCACCACCTGCTTATTTTTTCTTATCTAGCATCTTGACTGATTGGGATTCTTTGACTGGGTGACTACAACATTCATACTGAAGGATCTGAGTCTATAATAGTGCAGATTTTATTGAGTTCTTTTATATTGGACACAGAAGTAATGCGATATCCCAGACAATCCTTGAGGTACTAGACATGATCCTCACTACTTGCAGAATGTACCAGCCACGCAATTTTCCTTTAATAATCAGGTCAATTTCCCCAGCAATTTCCTTCCTTCTTTCTTTTTTTTTGGGGGGGGAGGGCAGGGGAAAAGAACAGAATCTCCCTCTGTTGCCCAGGCTAGAATGCCATGGCCTACCTCACAACAACCTCAAACTCTTGGGCTCAAGCAATCCTCTTGTCTCAGCCTCCCAAGTAGCTGGAAATACAGGTGCCCACCATGATGCCTGGCTAATTTTTCTATTTTTTTTTTTTAAATATGGAATGCTTCATGAATTTGCATATCATCCTTGTGCAGGGCCCATGCTAATCTTCTCTTATTCCAATTTTAGTATATGTGCTGTGGAAGCAAGCACTAATTTTTCTATTTTTAGTAAAAATGGGGTCTCTCTCCTGATCAGGCTGGTCTCAAACTCCTGACCTCAAACAATCCTCCTACCTCAGCCTCCCAGAGTGCTAGGATTACAGGTGTGAGCCACTACACCTAGCCAGCAACTGTCATCTTTGCCTGTTGATGATAGTCTCAGCTTCCGATTTGATGGGACTAGTGCTGGGTCCTCTGCTGACAGCATTCCTCTTTGAAAACTAAGTCCTAGGCTCGGCGCCTGTGGCTCAAGTGGCCAAGG